GAAAGAAACAATAGTTTTTTTTTTTTGTTTTTTTTTTTTTTTTTTTTTAAAAGGGATCAGGCTTTGTTTCTCAAGGCATAAGGAGAAACAATTATATGTGTCTGTGTACCGTGTAGGAAAAACAAATGCAGTAGGAAGTTTGCATCACACTGACAGAGGAACTGCTGTTACAGCCAAAGTTAGATTCTGTGACCTACAGGAAGAAAAAAAAAAAAAAAAAAAGCCCAAACCCAAAACAGAACATGGAGAAAACTATCAGAGTCATTAATGTTCTGGGCACCTCATTCTGCAGTTTGAAATCTAATAAGCTATAACGGTGCAGATAATGCTTTAGTCCCGTTGTGCAAAAGCATCGTCTCTCGTGGGTAGTCTTTCTTTCCTAGTGACCTGCTTTATAGCTCAGAATAGTACAGGGTTAAAAACCTCTCTTCCTTGTAGGGCTTCCATTGGCAGACCTTACTATAAGAGATTCTGCTAGCTCTAAACTTCACAACTGTTGATGCATCTCCCTCTTTTCCAGATGGGAAGAATATGCTTAGACCCTCTTCAGGCTTTTTTTTTTTTTTTTTCTTTATTCTTGAGCAGATGTGTTAGGTGTCCAAGATGTGATGAACAGAAAGTCAGTGCAGATGGAAGGTAGAACAATGTGTGAGGAACAAATCTTTGTCTGACACCGGTAAGTAAATCTACAGGACTGATAAGTCTTTTGCACACTTCTCTAAAGAAAAGGAATTACTAAAAATTGAGTCATTGGAGAAATCTGCTTGTACATTTGCAGTGAGCATGTGTGGATAGGTCTCCTGAATAGATGTTTGCTCTTGGAGCGCTTATTGTCTGTGGGAAGTTCCGTGTTTTCATTGCCTGCTCACTCTTCACACCACCATTATTTTGCCTGTATTTAAATCCCGCACATCCATGATTAACAGAGGGAATGAGTTGCTTTCTCTCAGCAAATATAAGGATAGGATTATTCCTCCTACTGACTGTGTAGAAGACGAATGTGTTGCTGCTGAATCACTCTTTGTAGGTACCATCAGCATCCTTGAAAAAGTATAGCTCCTCTCTCTGCCAAGATTTGGCAGCAGGGGAGAAAGCAGCACCGTCTTTTTCTTACCTTTTAACTTTCACTGTAGAGAGTAGATCTGACATTTTTTTCTTCAGAGTAATTTTAGTTCTTTCAGAGCCCGTACTGCAACTGGCATTGCTTTACGTGCAGTGAAACCAGCCAGCTGCATGCCTTCTGCAGTTTATGCCATGTGAGGATCTGTTGAAAGGGTCTTAAACATCACTGCATTGCAGGAGATGGATTGTACAGAAGTTGGGATCTCCCATTCCTGTTCCTCCAGAGCAAAGCAGCAATTAGCAGTGAGCAGCTGGGGCTTCTGGGGAATTCCCTGTTCTGTAGCGGAGTTTGTAACTATGGAGGAAAACTGGCTTGAAGCAATCGCCTTCTGACATTGTCTTTCAGTTGTGTTTCATACTAAAAAAAGAACAAGCCAGTTCATTTAAAGACTTTCTGAATGCACTTCATAGACAAAGTCCTAACATGGCACAGGTACATGATCTGAATTGATTCTTCATCACTGTTCTGAACCCTTCTCACCTGGATAGTTCTTCAAGTGCCTAGGCCCCTCTTATACTTGGTTACTTAAACATTTGGATTGGTGCTCTTTCTTTCTAGTGTATCAGCTGCCAGTTTGCTCCTGTTTGAAGCAGTTGCTGGGGCAGTGGTACCACCTAGAGTCTTGAGTACATCTGTTATTAGCCCCAGAAGGCATGACCTCTAGAGACACTCTTGCACGGGGTGAGCAGAGCTTGGAAGAAGATGGGCATCATTACTGATGTAATCTGAGTGCTTGCACGTACCATTTTTATTACTGTGTTGTACTGGTAAAAGTCCCCTTTGGCCCTAAGGTTTGCTCATCAGACCATTCATTTCGCATTGTGTTTGCTTTTTCTATATGGACGTAAAATTCCCATCACAAACAATATACTGCTACTTAATACCTAGCTAATAAATAAAAATGAAATGCTTGCTCCAAAACCCAACATTTTGTTGATTATAACATTTGCTATAGTCAGTAGTCTTATGGATCTTATAATCTCTTTTATGGGATTACTGCGTATTTCTTAGATGGGTCTCTAGACTATATCAGCTTCTAATCACAGACGGCAAGAGTTTAGAGGCTGATGCTGAGATCTCATTTTTCCGTAATAGCTTCAGACTTGCCCTCAGCTCAGGATGAATAGATGGCTGTGAATACTAAGCGAGACAAAAATGTTCTGGGATCTTTCTTTTGGAATAAAATCAATTTGTTGGTTTCACAATCTCTGTTGGCTTCATAAGTTGTTGCACTTTATTAATTTTTCACACTTTATTTTTGGCTGTGTGGATTTTTTCACATGGAACAAGACTGGCAGGGACTGAAAAAATTAACGAGGGGAAAACAGAAAGTCACCACTGTGAATGGAGCCTCCAGTGCACCAGGCGCTTCAAATAGCTTTAGCGATAATAGTAGCTGAAGTCTAGGGAAACAAGGATAGTACTACAGGATCCTAAAACTGCTCTCCATCTAGAGCAGGTGAAACTTGCTAGTGGTCCAGTTAGGGGGAAAAATGAAATCAAGTTTATTAAAAGAAGAATCAGTATGCTTTTATTTGATTTTTCTATCAGTGCTGCTTTACAGTTTGGTCCGTGAGCTTTCCCCTAAAAGGCTGTGTTAGACTCTGACTTGGCAATTGTTGAAGAAAATCAGGCTGAGAGGGAAATGGGAATTCAGAGTCTCAAACAAGCATAGCTCTGTGCTTTGTGATTGTGAGATACTTTTAAATAGAAGATAAGCCTTATTCATACGTTACAAAAACTCACTGGCCAAATCTGACCTGTCAGAGACTTGGAGATGCTGCCTTCCAGCAAGTATCACCTACAGAGGCAACAAGGTGGAGGAGATGAACCCCAGCAGGCACTATGGAAGGACAGAAGACAGCTCAGTCCTCATCAGAGAATGATGCCTACACAAGAAGAAGATACCATGCATGTCAGGCCATGGGAGGAGATGTGACCAGAGCTGGTGCCACAGGTTGCCCTTGCAGTGGGGGTTTCTGTCCCCTGACCTTCCCTCTGGGCGGGAAGCCAGCTCTCACCAGTCCTGTTGCTCACATTACAATTGTTTTTCTTCTTGAAGCCTGTACCAGTGTTAGGCATAAAAGAGAATACAGGTTGTGTCTGCACTGGGTTTGGGGTTTTATTTTTCGGTAGTCAATGCCATTTATCCTTTATGGTCCTGCTATACATGGGCTCTTCCACAGCAGGCCCTGTATTTTTAGGACCCTATGCAATGGGACAGAAATAGTGTTTCTTTCCTCTCCCTTCCCCCTCAGCTTGTGACTTCATCTGTACCTCAGTACATCGTTGCTTGTTACTACTTCCCAGACAAGGTTGACTGTTCCCCTTTGTGTTTTGGGTCCTGCTTGATGCCCAAGCCCACCCTTGACACCTTCATACCCAAGCAACTCTCTTAAAATAGTTTTTCTAAAGTTTTTGCCAAAACTAAAAAAAGGCATAGGAAGGAAGTTTCAAAAACTTTCCTTTCATAAATGTGTCTGAGGCTGTATTCTCTTCTTTAATACTCAGGGAGCCAACTTGTCCTCGTTGCTACAGCATGTGCTGCTGCCAACCCCTTTAGCCCTTTTCCATTCCCTCCCAAATGTACGGATTATTCTCTGTGCATAGGTAGAGGCAGCGTGTATTACAACAATATGTAATTTATGAATAGAAATGTATGTGCTGGCACCACTTTTTTCTTTGGAAGTTAGCCTGTGGTAAGTTAGACCTACATAAACAAGAGGGTTTGGTTCACCTGTGTTTAAAGTACAAAGAGCTGCAGCAACTTGAAACACTGCATCTTCTTATTTGGAATATTTTTGCAAGATTGTGTTTAATATTCCTTAGTGCAATAAATGTAAGCAAACATAAGGAGTAAAGCTCCTATTTCTATGTCTTTTTAAAAAATGTTAATATCCAGAGTTGTGAGGCTCTAAACTACTTGTTCTCATTATTGCTGCTATGGCTTGTTGCTTGTGTTTTGGGACCATTGCTTGGTAAAGCAAGGACTAGAGTCCAACTGTTTGCGGTGTGTGTACCTGCTCGTATACTGAGCTTCTCTGCAGTGTCTTGAGATTGCTTGTTTAAGGCAAAGGTATGAGAAGTGGTTTTATTGCCATGTCACAGATGTACAGATAACATCAAGAGAAAGACATGAGAATCTGAAGAAACACTTCCAACTTGGATCCTGGGTTGGGAGCCTGTGAACATTGTAGTGGATGAGTAGTTTAAGGACTTCAATAGAACAGCAGAGAGCAAGGGCAGCTCATGGGAAACAACTAAACCGCCTCCTGTGTTTTGAGTACTACAAGCAGCCCAGATTCTTGCCCTCTAGTCGCATGTAGTTCATGTTTTAAAGGGTGAAATCTGTCATATTCCCAATTTACCAAGAAGGCAAAATGTACAGGCTCTGCTCTGTGAACAAATGACTTTGTATGTGATGGCTTAAAATATTAAGGAGTGGGAAGACCTGTGCTTTTCTTTCATTTTTTTCCTGTTACACTATTTACTGATTTGCTTGTAGGTGTGTGGAAGTCTTTTACATTTACTTCCATGCTGGCAGAGTTGAAGAGCCCTATGTCAGCATCACAAAGAAGAGGCAGATGCCCAAGGATGGGTACTCGGAAGAAATTGAGAAGGAAGTGGGCCAGGCTGAAGGCAAGCTGTGTACACACAGGTCTGCGTTACGTTCCTCGGCTCAGCACCCCAGCTCACGCTCCAGCTCTACATCTGCGTCCTGCAGCAGGAGATCACAGCTGCCAGAAGTAGGTAGAACCGTTGTTATCACCTCCATATTTTGGTGGGAGGGAGAGGAGAAGGGTCAGCAGGGAGGTGTAGCTGCCCTGGGCAAGAACCGAACATATTGCAATGGGTTTCATCTCCCTGACAGCTTTTGATGGTGATACTGCTCTCAAGTTTATCAATACCATCATGTTTTAGACTATGATGCTTCCTGTAGCATACTTGGGTTGCTTTAAAAACATTCGTTTGATAAGTGGCCATTATGGCATGAGAGGAAGGCAGCTGGAGGGACGAAGCTGTCATCATGAAGAGGAAAAAAAATTTACCTCTGTTCCATTTTGGGTTTTGAGCAAACTTTCTGGAAGATTCCTTGGGGTACAGCACAGAGTGTATTTTGCCATGCTGCATTAAGGAAGGTGTACTTTCAGGAATGCAGTTTCAATTATGGACTGAGGACATGAACTGTCTTTACGTGTGCCAGACTCTGAATTTGGAATCAAAGGCAGGACTCAATAAGCTGGTATGCAAATGTGGCCATCTCATCTCTAGACCCAAGCTGTTAAGCCTTCACCAAGCAGTGGTGCACCACATGGACTTACCAGGACACCTCTCTCTTACCGTGGGACTCTGCATCTTGCTCCATGATGTGCTCCAGCTCCTTGAGAAACAAAGTCTTCATTTGCTGGCTGGCTGCTAAATGAAGAACCTACTCCAGCTGGTTGTAGGACAACCAGCTTTTCCATGTAAGAAAGGACTTTGGCACTTATGTGAACTGGAGGTGTGTTTCCACTGAGATACAAAATAGCTCTTGTTATATCTCCAAGGCCCTGAGAGGCCAGCGATCTTTACCAGCTTCGCAGCTAGGGAGGCTGAGGCTAGAGCGACACATTACAAATCTGAATGCTTTCTTCAGTTCTGGTGCCTTGGTTGGCAGTGTACCAAGGTAAGGAACTAAGGTTTTTGGAGGAGCCTTTATAATAACATCAGGGTTCTCCCCTCAACTCGGGGAATGGAAAACTTTAGCATGCCAAAGGGCAAGTCAGCATGTAAAGGATATTGCAACAGGTTAATGTCTTCATACAAAAGTACTTGTTTAAGGTCATAGCAATAGTTACTTGAAAGACACTGCTCCTGACAGTTTCTGAGTACTTCACAGCTAAGGTAGGCTCTTTGAATAACCATGGCATCCGTGACATGGGATGCGAACAAAGCAGCTGAATCCTTTGCTGAGTGGTGCAATTAGCAAGATTTCCAATCACTTCGCTGCAGATGGCATTTTCTTGAGAAAGGTCACCTTTTTATTGTATTTCTTCTGTTACTGGTGTTGACCTTACTGGTCATGATTGCAAAGGAGAAGCACTGTGTTCCTGATGATTAGAGAATTGCATATTTAATAATGATTTGTAACTCCCTATTATTTCTAACTTTTATCAGTCACTGCTGAGATAAATTCTGAATCACAGACTGATAAGTGACCTTCTGTGGGTGAAGTTAAACCACCAGAGGTAAGCTGGCTCACCAGGGAGTTCAGTGAACCCACCAGCAAATACAGTAGTTATCTTGTGTCTCCCAGAAGCTATCTCATAGGAGGTGTAATTCTAAAATAGAGAAATGAAAAGAAAAAAAAAAAGTGGGTTTTTCTTTAATTGGTGATTTACGAACAATGGCAATGTCTATTAGAGCTCATTTATCAGAGAAACGAGTCCTAACCATATCCGTCTTGTGTGTATTTTACCTTCTGAAATATTGAAACTTTTTGCAGTCTCTTTAGCCAGCTTATTTCTGCAGTAATACCTTTTGTCCACCAGTATTATTCAGCCTCCAGAGTAAATGGAAGTGATGCATAGCACATTGCTGTTTTTTATGTGTACACGGGGATTCTCATGTATAGGGACATGACTTCAACCTTTTGATCTTGCAGCATCGTGAAAGTAATTTAGCAGCCAGTCCAACTCTTCTTCCACACTTCAGATGTCTTCAACTTGCCTGTTCGTCAACACTGGTCCTCCAAACTGCACGCTTTTTTCCATTTGTCTCTCTTATAATTATCACTCTCTTCTTCTTGTATTTTGATTTCCGCATTTTTTGTCTTGTCTTCTCATCAGTCTTTTATTTTTCTGGATTCCTACGTACCCTGTCTGTTATTCTGTGTAAATTCTGCTTGGTCAGTGGTAATGAGGTCAGTATCACCTGTGAACATAAAGCTGTTTACCATCATGTTACATTGCATGGTTTGTCCCTTTCAGATCTGTTTAAAACTCGTTATTGCTCCCACTATTGAATTGACCAGTTCTGAAAAGAGCATGCATCCTTGCCTAGCCCTTTGTCAACCAGAGCCATGCTGCATCTTTCTTGTGTATTTCATGGCATTCATTAATTTCTCTGGATGTTTTCTTTTGGATAATCAGATTTTTGCCAGTGTCTGGCATTCTCCAAAATTGTCATTTCGCTGTCTGCCAAGAATGTAAGATCAAGAGAATTAAAGAGAGTTGCAAAAGCAGGACAAAACCTCTAGGTTAGTGATGAAAGACAGAAAGTTTCGGTGACTGTTTAGCATGAAATGCACAGAAATGTTGGATGAAATGCAACATTGGAAACCCGCATGTAATAGCCTAATCTGAGTCCTAGTTCTAGACATTCAGCTCTTTGTTCGGTTACAACGTAACTGGGAAGAAGTTCCTACCTTGTTACTGTACGAAATGCCCAGTCTGACTCTGTAGTTGCCACTCCCAGAACAGATGCCGAGGTCTCCCTTGTACATTTGTGCTTCACCCTGCACTAAATGCTTCAGCATCTCTCAGTATCATGCATTGCCTCAGAGCCAGCTACAGCCTTGCTTCCAAGAGGTGGCTGACATCAGGTCCACTTACATGCTGTTGGGCAGCTATCCAGACTTCTTCACTTAGGTAGTACCACCTGGAGAAGCACAAGGCCAGGAGGTGCCAAAAAGACCTGAGTTAGCGTTAATTACAAAACCAGCTAGCTGGAGGTGAGGGATGCATGACTTGGCCTTTTACGCTTGAAAAAGGGCCTGTTCTCAAGTGTGCAGTACTGAGTGCAGAAGATCCGCTTCCATTAAGAGCGGTCTTTTTGTAAGTTTAAAGTTTTTGTGCTGTTAATAGCAGTCAAGTTATCTTTTTCAAGTGTTGCTTACAGTGACAAAATAATCTCAAAAGGTGGATTTCCTACCATTTAAAAATAAAATTATGCTGCTGCAAAGGGTGCCTTTTTTTTTTTTTTTTTAAATGAAAATTAGTAGCAGTGACTGCCATCTTCAAGAACAGAGGCTTTGGGTTTATGATTTCTTTTCAACTTGCTGGTGTTCACAGTGTCACTTTCCTAATGTTCATGACCTGCGCTTTGTAGGTGGTCTTACAGTTATCTTAAGATGCTTCTACAGTTGCTTCTCCTCAGCTCATTAAGCTCTGACCACAGCATACTTTTCTCATTATTTGAACAACATACTTTGAGTACTTCTTGAGTATTAATAGTTGGCTTTAAGTGTTGAAATTATATCTTAAGGCAAAAAAATTTGTATCTAGGTGTCTTGTCCTAAGTAACAAAATAACTGCCCTTATTTTTCAAGGGTTCTGATTATCAGTTTAGAAAACTATAGTGTATATATAGTAGATAACTTATGATTCTTCAGCTGAATGTAGGATTTCAGTAATAGGTATTTGTGATGTACCTCATCTAGAGCAGAATTCACTCTTAGCAATTTCTGAAGGGGGAAAGACCTGGTCTTGAAAAGACTTAAGACACAATAAAAAACCCCAACAAAGTAAAACAGTGCCTCCCTGAATAACTCCGAGAGTGTGCACCTCTGATGTGTAAGAAAAGTACAGCCTTCTGGGAGCAGGAAGGAAGAAGAGAAATGCTACCTTTGTGAGGACTGTTAGGGGGTTTGGGACTGTTCCAGGGCAAGATACTTTGCCTTTTAAATTTTCGCTTCTTTGTCTGCTCAGGATGAATAAAAGCAACAATAATGTCACCCTCCCACATTTGCCTTAGTGGTTGCTTCAAACCATCTTTCTCACAGACTTAAAAGTGATGTTTCAACTGAAGATTTGGTGACAGTACTGAGCTTTTGCAGAAGGAGCAGGACTGGACTACTATATTAAACCAGAGTCAGCATGACCTGGTTTCTATCAGTGGAGAAATACCTCTTTCGAAGGCTTGAGTTTTTAAGACAAGTTTGAGATTAATATAGAATCCCTAAAATGAAATTGGGTAATAAGATGAATGTCTCAGCCTATCAAAGAAGAAAGCAAGCAGAGTTCCAGGACAGCAGCACCCCGTCCCCAGTGGGTAGGGTTTTTGGTTTCTTTAACTCTGAGAATATTCTTTTGCTTCATTAGCTGATGGAAGTTATTTGTTCTCTGACAGCTCAGCAGCCGGCTCAAAACTACACGAAAGATTTTTGTAAAGGGCCACAGGATATCAAGCAGTATTCTTGACTGCACTTGCTTGCTCTTCTGCTTTCAGCCAATGTTTTCTAAGACATAATGTTTAAACTCAGATCAAGTACAGTGCTGTAAGAAAGATGTTTAAAAACAGACATTAAAAATCTGTGTTAAGCAAGCAAATACATAACCATTTTCAGAGAATATATGCACGACCAAACTGGCATATACAAAATTACCATATAAAAAGTTTCTTTCAAAATCATGCTCAGAAATTAGTAACTTTCATGAGGAAAAAAAAACTTACAGTCATGGCTAAATAGCTATAGCAAAGCAGGGAATCCGGTTCATTTGTAGGATATTGACACACAAACTAATTGAAGGCTGCAGAACGCACTGGTTGCTAAACATTGCAAAAGTAATTGACATAATCAGAGTTGGGAATTCTTGATTATTTTGTTTTATCTGATGCAATATAATGCCCTGTAGCATGACCAGTTAGCTTAGGTATTTTTGCTGAAACTCTAAAAGAAACAAATGAATCATTTTTACTGTGCTTAACTCATTTGCATTTGAAGTGTTCCTTGTGTGGACAAAATGCTAAGATTGAAACTAAAAGTATTGATTGGTGGTGCCTAAAATTAGTGCCTTAAATCAGCTATTCAGCATGTTGGGAAAAATTGTGAAAGTAGTACGCAAATGCTAACAAAACTGTGGGCAGTTAGCACTTCTGAACATCAAGGTACTTCTCTGTGAATGCTTATTCTATGCATACAGGGTTCTTATATGTCTGTACCTACTTAATGTAGCAAGACAAGACTCCCTCCTGCAGTGCCAGAAAGCTTTGCCCTTACTGCATCTGGAGGGGAGGCCAGCTAACAACTGGCCTCTACCTTCACCTGCTGCGGAATTTAAATGCTGTGAAACCTTCACTCGAGAGATTCTGGGTAGATGAGAGATACAGAAAGTTGATCTGAATTTAAAGACCTTTTTTTAAAAGGAGCGTTGTTTTTAAATGCATGATATAGATACATGTATAAGGAAAATAGATGTATAGGAAAACACGGTATAGACAGGTTAGCAAATATCTGTCTACGCAGGCAGAAAAAGTGCAGATGATTCTGGGTTTATATTGCTTTGGCTTTCAATTTTGAGCTCCATCACAGAGCTCTTCTGTGAGCTTAGACAATTTGCTTTGACATAGAAATTGACAAGCACTGAGGTATCTGCATGCCCAACACCAAAATTTCAGCTTCTGTTTTGCAGTTCTTCATCTGCACAGAGGGGGAGTAGCACCCCCGTGCTTTGTGGAGTACTGTGAGAGTCTGAGAGCAACTTGGATACTCTTATGACTGAGCTGCATAATTACCAAAGACTGTGTGTATGAACAGCCCGGGTGGGGGGAGGAGGGAGAGACACCGGTGACTGTGAAGTGCCTTTTTTTCTTTCTAGCTACTTGGAAAAGTAACAAATGGAGACCAAAACAGGAGGCAGGGTTAGAGTAATAACCCAGAACTGTGTACAAGGAGTGGCTTTTCTGGCATTACACCTTGCTGGGAATCCCCAGAAGTGCCAGGAAGACAACTACATCTGCACTGCTCTGTTGCAATGTCTTTTAACTTCTACTAAGCTGAAGGTTCTGATTTGTGTTTTCTCTTTGTAGGTATTTTTATGGTCCTTTCTCTCCTGTCAATTGTATATGGCGCCTTACGCTGCAACATCCTGGCTATTAAGATTAAGTATGATGATTATGATGTCAGCGTGAAACCAGCCGCCTACCTCTGCATATTCATGTGGAGAAGCTTTGAGATTGCTACGCGGGTTACGGTGTTGGTCCTTTTCAGTTCAGTCCTTCAAATCTGGACTCTCCCCGTTGTGCTAGTGAATTTCTTTGGTTTTTTCTTCTACCCATGGATTCTCTTCTGGCAAAGCAAGTCCCCGTTTCCCGAGAACATAGAGAAGGCACTGAGCAGGGTCGGCACTACCATCGTCTTGTGCCTTCTCACCTTCTTGTATGCTGGCATTAACATGTTCTGCTGGTCAGCAGTGCAGGTGAAGCTCAATGATCCTGACTTAATTAACAAATCCCAAAATTGGTACCGACTGACTGTGTATTACATGCTGAGATTCATTGAGAATGCATTCCTCCTGCTGATGTGGTACCTCTATAAAACTGATATCTACCTGTATGTCTGTGCCCCTTTGTTGGTCTTGCAGCTCCTGATAGGTTACTGCATGGCTGTCCTCTTCATGTTGGTGTTCTACCAGTTCTGCCACCCATGCAAAAAGCTTTTCTCATCCAGCATTTCCGAAGGTTTGTTCTCCTGTTTCAAGTTCCTCTGCTTTATTTGCAAGCCTCCCAAATCCACCATACTGATGGACAAGGCAGAGGTGAAATCTGAAAATACTGATGAAGCACGGAGCAGTAGCAAGACAATAGATTCTCAAAAGGCAAATCCTCATCAAAGTGTTTCTTCCAATGCCTAGTGTAACTGGAAGCAAGTAGGTGCCTTTGGAAGGTGGCAGATCACCTGCTGGGAACGCTGTGTATTTTGGACATTGTGTCTTGCGGATGGGATTTCTTTATTGCAGGTGTAGCACTGCATGACGACTGACAAGCCTACCTTTGTGGAAACCTTAGTGTATGAGTACGTGTATCTGTGTGTGCTTGTGTATGGACATAGAGAGCAATCATTGTTTGTAGACTTCTGTTTCAGAGGTTTTTGCACATAGGTTTATTATCACATGCTTATTTTGAAATCATTATAGGAGACATCCTTCAAAAACTGGCCTGATGCTCATCTTACTCAGGAAATCTGAGGATGAAAGGAAATGCATTTTATTTCAGATAGGATGTCATTATGGCATGCCACCCTAGCATGGAAACAGAGCATAGTCCTTGACTATATATTGACTGTAGCTGTGGTCTGCTTTGATCAAATTGCAGACTTTTTTTACACTCTACTCAGTGTAATAAGATAATTCTTCTCTCTGTGGTATAAGAGTTGGACTTCTACAATGCACTGTAGTCTAGGTTGCCAAGAAACAGCCAATTAGCCAGCACTAATACTGAAATGTGACTGTTACTGAGAATGGACAGAGGGGTTATTGGCTTTGCACTCTTTTACTCTTCATATTTGCTGCTTGTTAGTAAGGGAATTAAATTTAACACATTAATTGTAATGTTCTGGAATAGCTCATTTTTCTGACATTATAATTTGTCTAATACTCTGATGTTCTGGTATTAGGGTGGTGTTTATATAACTTTAAATATCTAGAAGTTGGGCAGATGATAGTGTGAACTAGTCACGTAAAGTGCTCTCCAGAGCACATCTCCAGGGAGTAATTCAGCCCATCTTAAAATGTCCTCTAAGGCAGGGGATATGAGTCATTCTCTGGAGGCCTATTACTCTGTGTTAACCAGATGCCTTCACAATTAGTTTTGACTATATGTCTCCCTTTTAGATGGCTGAAGTTGAGACAAGCACTACCCTGCTTGTCAGGGGGTTGATAGTACACCAAGCAGGCAACTCGGTGGCTCGTTATGTGGGGGCAGAAGACACCGAGTCCTTCTTTTTGAGGCTGTGATATGCTATGTTTAGTTTAATGTAAGTAGTTCAAAAACCTCTGACTTCTTTACCTCAGAAGTACCACAGGCTTGAAATCTGAAAGAGGAAATGGAAGTTGTTGACTTTTTCTTCTATGCACTATATCACCACAAATAAAAGTGTTTCTGTATTTTGCAAGTTGCTGAGAAAGCTTTAGCAGATGAACACCCAAGAATTTAGTGGAAATACACAAAAACAATTGTATTTTCAAAAATCAAGTGAAAGCTTTTTGTACTTTGTTTGCTTAGCACCTTGCATTTCTTTTGAGTATTACACATTATGGCTGCTAGTGGAAACAAATAATTCCTGACCCAAAGCATCTCCTAGTATCCTAAGCTTAGCCTTCATCCTATCATCATGGAGGATACGAAGTTCTTCAGTAGGGATGACATCAGCATCATTGTATTAGAAGTGTCTCAGGTTTGGGCCTGAGGTCATTTATAATGAAATATGTCACATGCAATGCTGCAAAGAGCTAAGCTGGTTTTATTTTTTCTTTACTGCACTGTAAATTAATGTCTTCGTACTTCAGTTTTATAATGCAGTTATGGTTTTTAGTTTGCTTAATATGTGTCTGTGTGTGGTATGTGTATGTAGATCTCATTAAATTATTGGTGGGTGGTAATGGGAATTTTTGGCCTGAACTTGCCAATGTACCTCACATATCTGGGGAACACACTAAACATCTCAGTTCTAATTTTTCTCTCTGAGGAGCATAGAATAGTGAAGTGACGCCTTGAAGACACTACAGTATTTCTTTGTACTTCTGTATGTAGAAGTACAGTATAATATTTTTCTGCACTTTTCAGGATGTAGAAGAGTATTTCTAAAAGAGCAAGTGAGAATGTAACCCTTGCTTCCAAACCTGCACAGTTCAGCACACAGGGCCAAATTTTCAGGTGTTCTTAGCTAAAACTGAGTATCTGACTTCATAGCTGGATACTCATCAATAATCAGGGAATTATGGTTGTTGCCTATCTACAGATGTACCTAGGTCTGAAATGTTAGTCTTTGCCGGGGGGGGGGAAGTGGCTTCATATGTAGAAGTACTTTATATCTAAAGAGAGAGCTCTCAAATCCTTAAAGCAGACTTTGGACACTGTAAGTCATGGTGCAGTTGTGATCTTGCCATTTGGAAACAGCGGAAGCTTCACAAACCTCAGCTAGTGAAATGTTTGTGCTACAGTGAAGTCAAGAGTAGGAGAATTTACACAGCCAGGAGTCCAGTATGTATACAGAGTGAGTACCATTTAACCTTACATATCAATGATGAAGACTACTGTATATGCATATTTTTAGAGAATGTGCCATATTACTTCCTATTTTTATACCAGTCTCCTGAAGTGCATGAATAGGGAACTGAATATTTAAATCACGGGGGGGGGTACAAACAATGTTTTCATTGGGGCGGGGGGGGAGCTAGGGAGAAAAAAAATTGATTGATTTGTATGGGTTATATTACTATCATATGGTTTTGCCTTAGTTCTGCAGACTAACCAAATACAGTTTAAACACTCCAACGTGATGGCCGTTGCTTTTGCTGTGCCTCATGTCACCACAGCACGGAGTGCCCATTACCTAACAGTATTGCTGCTCTATGTATGTTTTGATCTAGCTGTGCTGGCATTGCTGGTAGAAAGAAGGTATGAGAGGGAGTCATAGAGACAAAGATGCTCTGTTAAAGACCAGTGTTTTAAAGGACAAGCTTATTTTTGTAAAGTGTGCTATAATGCTAGGAGAGGCAGTTTTTCCCGGGATAATGACCGTCTAGACAGTGTTGTTATCAATACACCCAGTGACTGCACTGAGAGAGGGACAGTATTAGCTACAGTGGCTGGTCTCTTGCTGCAAGTTTACTGTAGTTTTACTCTGCTCTATGAATGTTAGAGGCGTATGTGTTCAATGGAAAGGTATAGGGCTACTGTTAAAAACTGTACTCACTTGAGTAGTCCTGAGTCACACAGAGGTTTACTCAATAAGGATTATTCATGTGTATAAGAATATGCAAGATCTGATACACATGCTTTCTTTTATACTTGTAAAACAACACAAATTAAAATGTTGAAACACTCCCTGAAGTTGTGTTGGTATCGGTTCTTAGTCTGCTGCTTTCCGAAATCCAAGGTAAAGGTTATATAGCATGCTGTCGTCTGTTACCACGCAGCGGAAGAAATGTTTTCAGGCAGACCGGACAGAAGAATAATCTGTGATTGATTTTGGAGTTCCTTACCTCCAACCAGTGGTGCTTCCAATGCTGTTTAGCTGGCTGGGATCTCAGCAGAAAATGTTGTAGGAGGCAGGCAGTTTGAGAGACTAGTATTATACAAAAACAGTATCAGTATAGGTTATTTATTGTTAAGATGACAATATTTAGTTGGTTTACATTGGAAATTGGAAAAAAATCATTACCTTAAAAAGGATCTCGTAACTTTTTCCTGCACACTTGTTTCATGCTCATCTGGATTTACTACCTGCTTGTCTCTGACCTTGGGAATAGCCAGCAAAATCCACGCTGAGGACTATTATAGAGGAACAGGAATGCATAGAAACTTTGTAACACATCTAAGTGTTTGCAAATTTTTATATATATATAAACATATATGTGTATTTTACAAATGCAGGTGTAAATAGATACATTGTAACAAGCTGTAATGTGTGCACATCACTTAAATGAGGAACAATTAGAAAAGGTTTTAGAAGTCCTGGTGGTGATGAACACCACTATCTGCTGGTAAGACCTGCGCTCCCTAAAATATAGAAAGTAATTTATCCCTTCTTACAGATAATATTTTTAGTCTTAAGGGATGATTTTTAAATGAGTATCCAGCATTTTTTTTTTAATCAAACGCAGATTGAAACCTAAATGAAAAACTTCAGATTCAGGCACAAGGTTGATAATTTCTGGGATTTTTATCACAAATTTCTTGATAGTGTCTGAGAGAATCTCTGCTTTTTGTTTTAAACATGGTTTCTTAAAGAAAAGAAACTTATGTGACCACACTGTTTTTCTGTTGTAGAATAACTAAATTTTTCTGAGGGCAGAAATCTGAGGAAGAACAGAGGTTTATACAAGCTTTGTGAAGACTATCAGCTTCCAGGAGGAAAAGATGGGAACTAATAAAATGATTCTACTGATAAGAGAGCTTTCAGCATGAGCTATCTACTTTGGCCTTCTTGCTGACCACTTAGCAAGCCAAGCAGTCAGCATGCTTTAGGCGTGATAAACCTGTGTATCACTCAGCGATCCACATACCTGCTACCTCTTGCCGTGAGCGTGAAAGAGGACGAGAAGTTGCGGAGATGAAGAGATACAGAAGGAAAGAGGAGGAGGAGGACATCATAAAGTCATGAGAGATAATAGGAGTCACTTCAGTTTAAAGGATGCAGTATGGACTCTACAGGAAATTATACTTCTTGTGTTGTTCCATTGATTGCAGAACAACTTATTTAAAGTAAGTTTCTAATCATTCTAATGAAAGACAGGGTTTTGTTAGACTTGAAAAATGTCTGACAACTAAAATGAACCCTCTTTTAAAAGAAAAAAAAGGTATTATTTGCAAGCCAATCTGGTGACACTTGCAGGCTGACTCAGAATTGGTGAATACCTGGGGTTGGTACACTAATCTAATTTAAAAAAAAAAAAAAGGGGGGGGGGGGGAAATTCCAGCATAGAAAGTTGTTAATCTTGATCGTCTTTAGCACCCTGAAGAAACATACT